GTTAAACCTGCCATGTTTCTTACTTGCTGAATTAAAACTACCAGCTCTCACAAGGCGATGTCGGAAAACGCTGAAAAGCAAAACCATTGTCAGTGATGGCGTGAACAGCTAGTAATGGACATAATATCAGTTACAGTTTAATTGGACGCGACATAAACCATGCATATCTGAATTAGAATGTGAAATGCTTTTCCCACGTTGTTCCACTGTCGAAACGGAAACATTATTCAAACAAAGGGAATTTGGTTTCAGGAAACTTGAACCCGTACAGAACTTACTGGATCGCGCTGTGCAGCATATTTATTCTTTAACTCTGCTGAAATATTCCAGCTATGACGGCGGTCTGTAAATAATCGATTCTCGACCAGAAAAATAAGTTGTCGATATATTGCGTACAAAGACCCGCACCGTCGGTGACAATGATGATGATGATGATGATGCTGGTGGTGGTGGTGGTGGTGGTGGAAGAAAAGACGATGCTGATGATGGGGGGGGGGGGGTGATGCGATGGTGAAAGTGATGACGCTGGTGGTGGTTGAGGTGATGATGACGACGACGACAATGATGGTGTTGCTGGTGATGAAGATGATGGTGGCGACGACGATGGTTATTGTGGAGGTGACGGCGGCGACGACGACGACGATGATGATGCTGTACTGTTCTGGAAACATACTGTGGTACTTTACGCAATAACTTTACGTAGTTATGCGGGGATTCGCGCGGAACGCGTTTTGTGCGAACCCATGTATACAGTTAGCAATACGTTTTTAATTATTTCTCGCGAGTTCTTTGTAGAGAACATGGCTCTAAACTGGTACAGGTTGCAGCGTACAGGTACATTATTACAGTCGAAAAAGAAGAAAGGAAAGCCCTCTGGTGGGTCCACGACATACAAGACGGGAGCCTCCAATAACCTGGTCATAGAGATGGAGAGATGTAACACTTCCGGCTGACCAGAGAGCAACACTTTCTACTCGGCATTTCCACATGTTCTGGCGCCACTTTTTTTTTATGTGGGATGTATTTCTATAATGACGTCACTTTCAGGATTTCCCATGTTGTCAGTATGCAAATTCGTTTTGCCGCATCTTCATCCGCATGAGAAAACGCAGCCCCTTCTGGACATGCGGATTGGTACAACGAATTTGACCTTGTTTCATTCTTTGGAGGCATTCTGCGTAAGCATGCTGCATAAGAATCCGTACGTGTGAAGTCCCAGCTTAAAGCGGTACGATTGAGGAGTTAATGCAGAACGATGGCGGACTTCATGCATACGACTGAGGAGTTAATGCGGAACGATGGCGGACTTCATGCGGTACGATTTAGGAGTTAATGCGGTACGATGGCGGACTTAATGCTGTACGATTGAGGAGTTAATGCGGTACGATGGCGGACTTAATGCGGTACGATTGAGGAGTTAATGCGGTACGATTGCGGACATAACACGGTACGATGACGGACTTAAAGCGGAGCGATGGCGGACTTTATGCGGTATGATTGCGGAGTTAATGCGGCGCGATGGCGGACTTAAAACGTCACGATGGCGGACTTAATGCGGTACGATTGCGGAGTTAATGCGGCGCGATGGCGGACTTAAAACGGTACGATGGCGGACTTAGTGCGGTACGATTGAGGAGTTAATGTCAAGTACATTATCTCCATCTTCTAATAATAATGACCTGTTTCCAGGGTCGTAAAAGGGTCAGCTTTCAAACATCTCGCGATATTATTGCGAAATTACAGTCACCATGGATTCATAATCCGTTTACTGAGAGAGCTGACCAAGTGTACTCAAGAACTAGTATGGGTTCCAGTCGCACCTAAATCAAATCAACATGATATATTATTCAGAAGCTCCGAATACAAAGCCTCGCCCAGCTTATGTAGAACTGTCAGAACCATCAGGAGTTCTACCGTGATATAAACACATACGCAATCAGAGCAATATCCCAATACAGCCGAGCTTTGTACAAGTCCCAGGCGTATGCCTCCATTAGACTGACGAGATTTTGGAAGGTGAGCAGACGACACTTTCACCTTGTTTTAACTCTCGTCTGCCCGCACGATCCGAGTTAATCGCTATTTTTATGTGTGGAGACGTCATCTAATCTCCCAGAATTCCCTGGGTACTGAACAAACATCGTGTGTGGAGGGGACATAAGTGCAGGAAGTCCCTCGTCGGCTACATCCGGGTTATATCTTGTTATCTTCCTCCCCTGGACAACCATTTCTCCTTGCCCGGATGAGAGTTATCTCCCTTAGCCCCCCTATTAGCTTCAGGCGTTTAATTTGCGGTCAGTGCCACCACTGGCTGAAGGTGGTAGTAGACTATTTTTCTTTCAAGGGCTTGGGTAGCTTGTTGCTTTTCTTAAACCCGGATATTTACGTTTTCTTAAACGCTATTACAGATTCCGACAACTTAGGGATACAGAAGTCCGATGGTTTCAGACGCCGACCTTATCTGCGCTGAGGTGCGTCGATTCTTAACGCACAGTTATTGTTGCAGTAACCTAAACAGTTATCTCCCTTATGTCTATCTCCATGTTTGACAATTGATACAGTAGTATTCCATGAAATTGTTGGTTTGACTAGATACAGAAATCCTCGGAGACGTCAAAAGAATTTCGAAATAAAACTTAAGACTTTGAAATGAAAAGGATTCTTTTTGTAATTGACTAGTCTCCCTTGTCCAGGTCCGCTTTGAAGCCTCACGTCATGATCTATTTATAGAATTATTTGATTGATCATGAGTTACCTCCCTGTCTCTGGGTGAAGATTTAAAGTCTTTGAAGTGTTGCGAATATCCTGTTATACGAAGTCAAATCCCCGTCTGCAAACAGATACCCTTAGCCAGACGGCATCTCATCTCTCACTGACGGCTGGGTGATTTAGATATAAGCTGTAATTCTTCTTTTATTGGCGGTAGTCATCATCCAAGTTTAGGCTAAATGGAATTTCTCTTTGAATGGGAATAATGAGTTAATTCTATTCGCAGACGAACCAAAGTTTTTATTTGGGCGTTATAACGTTACTTTATTACATAATCAGTTCCCCGTCAAGATCCCAGGTTAGAATAGGCCTTCAGCTACCCATGCTTGTCGTAAGAGGCGACTATGCTTGTCGTAAGAGGCGACTAACGGGATCGGGTGGTCAAGCTCGCTGACTTGGTTGACGCATGCCATTGTATCCCAATTGAGTATCGATGCTCATGATGTCAATCACTGGATTGTCTGGTCCAGACTCGATTATTTACAGACCGCCGTCATATAGCTTGAAAATTGAGTGCGGCGTTAAACAACAAACAAACATAATCAGTATTGACACGTTTCAACCAATTGCCGTTCATTAGTGACATTCAATGAGGCAGATGCATTGAGGCACATCGTCCTGGTTTCGTAATCACGACTCGTCCCTTTCCGTAATACGGTCAATCCGAAAAGAAACGAGTTGTCCCGAATGTAATGGGTCATAATGGAGACAGTATTCAAGACGAAATAACAGTTAGCCGACATCTTGACAAATCTATCCATGTTCGAATAGTCCCGTTTCAATTATCAACGTACAGTTTCAATATTTACCCCTTTGCTGAGAATTGCGTGAGTAAACAGTCACAAGTCAACAATGATACAGTAACATTCGTGTACATTCGTGCAAACCCGTGTACAATCGCGTACATCTGTGTACATTCGTGTACAGTCGCGTACACCCGTGCACAATCGTGTACACCAGTGTACATTCGTGTAGACCCGTGAAGATTCCGGGGTAGAATAGGTCTTCAGCAACCCATACTTGCCGTAAAAGGCGAATAACGGGATCGGGTGGTCAGGCTCGCTGACTTGGTTGATACATGTCATCGATCCCAATTACGTGGATCGGTGCTCATGATGTCAATCACTGGATTATCTGGTCCAGACTCGTTTATTTTACAGACCGCCGTCATATAGCTGGAATATTGCTGAGTACGGCGTTAAACAACAAACAAACAAACAAACAAACAAACAAACATTCGTGTTAAATGCGGTTCTTGTTCATAAAGCCCTTTATAGTTATTCCTAAACAACGTAACATGATTACACACTATAATATAAAGGTGTATGTCTAATAGAATGTTCTAATGTTATCAGATATGCCAACCAGAAATCCCGCTGATCAAACGTCCGTTAATATCCAATATGATACACTCCTATTTAACACCATAACCCTCCAGGGCGTTGTGTCTTTGTAATTCAAGAACGCTAAAAGAAGAACGAGAATGGCGCAATGGTAAGATCAGGAGACCAGAATACTATCTGATGTACGTCATTAACACACTGGCGTTAGACGAACAAAGACATAGCCTTACAGGCCAGAATTTCGACCTGTTAATCCACTCCTCTCTTAATCCATTATCCTATCTCTCATCCTTTGGCCCTGTGTTATTCAGGCCTTTCAGAGAGGCTTTTAAGAAGTCCCTCAAAGTACTTTGGTCAGCCGCTGTAATTATTCAAATTGAAAGGTAATCACCGAACTACTTCTAACATGGTGCGAAGGCGCGACTCCAGTGTCTTCTATGAGGTCCGCGCGATCAATAAGCAACGAGCCCTCGTCAAATGTTCAACTCCTCTTGCAATCTTTGGATGTTTCCTCTTATAAAGGCGAGTTTTAAAATGAGATTTTGATGCCTACTTTGAAACCGACACATGTGGGCTTCCACATTAATCAGGTACAAGGGACATGAAATAGACCATGAACGATTAATTCAACTACAATGAGTTCTTGATAACTTACAAAGAAAGAGTTATCACTGAGGTGAGAGTTTGGACAATTATGGACACAGTTTTATAATCATGACATTTAACTCCCGTACACAACTTACTCACAAAGTCATGGACGTCATCCTTGTTACGAATCAAATGTCAATCTTGACATACTGATCAAAGTCAGACTTAATGTAAACGGGTGCCGTTTAAAATAGCAATTCATCTATTCAGCGACTGAGTGTATGGATGAGGAATTAAAGCATGAGACAGCTGTATCAACCGGACCCGCGTGGTAAAGAGGGGTTGAAGTTGGAATACCAGTTACTACCGGACCTGCCGGAGGGTGGACACATCGGACAGTTGGAAAAACATGAATCTCGGAAACACTCCAGGGTCGAGTGAGTGAGTGAGTTAAGAAGAGAGGGATGGTTTAATGCCGCTTTTAACAGTATTTCAGTTTTTGGGAAAGCCCGAAGTAACACAGGTTACAGATGTTTGGTGAAACCTACGAGCACAGGTATGGTGCTGACAAACCTAAAAACATGATCAGGTCGAACTGGGATTCGAACCCTGGTTTCTGGGACGCCTAAGGAAGCAGCTCTTCACAGCGACATTCGGCGCCTAAGACGACTGGGCGACCCATGTCGCCTCCCTAGTATAATGAGTGAGTGAGTTGGGTTTGACGCCGTTTTAACATTATTCCAGTTATATCACGGCGTGTCAGCTTAATGTGGGAGGAAAGCCCGAAGTGATGCAGGTCTTGGACGTTTACCACTTCGGTGAAACCCACGAGCACGGGTATGGTGCTGACAAACCTAGAAACATAATCGGGGCGAACCGTGATTCGAACCCACAATCGTAGGTTTCTGACGTGTCAGGTATAGTATTTCATACATCGACATTATGTCCATCTAATGATGACACACTAATATACTGATACGATGACATTCAAGTGATGACACACTGATATATCGACACAATGACCTTCAAGTGATGACACACTGACCTTCATGTGATGACACTGACATGCCGACACAATGACCTTAAAGTGATGACACATTGATATACCGACACAATGACCTTCAAATGATGACACACTGACACGATGACCTCCAAATGATGACACACTGACATACCGACGCAATGACGTTCCAGTGATGACAAACTGATATACCGACACGATGACCTTCAAGTGATGACACACCGACACGATGACCTTGAAGCGATGACACACTGACCTTCATGTGATGACACTGACATACCGACACAATGACCTTCACGTGATTACACACTGATATACGGACACGATGACCTTCAAGTGATGACACACTGACATACCGACACAATGACCTTCACGTGATTACACACTGATATAACGACAGACTTCTGTTATTGGTGTTGACATAGTGACAACAAATGACTACAATATATTTTATATGCGTGGATTAAAACAGTATTGACACCGGTTATTATAATTATACCTTCTCAACTTTTAAATGACTTTCATGAATCAACAATATGACTTTCATGTAGCAACAAAATCAACATGTAGCACTGTAACGACACAATGGCTATTATATGAACATAGTGATAGCGGTTACATGAGGATATATGCTACGTTAACAAGGGAACCAGATTCAACTATTTTATTTAAGGCCGAAATTATGGTTCATATTGCTACATGCCAAAAAAGCGAGATTCCTCTATGTAAAGTCACTGAGTCGAATTGTTTGAGGCTTCAGACAAAAGTTTCAGTTTTTCAGAACATTTATGAAAACTCAATTTCCGGTGTATGTAGTCGTGTTAATTGTGGCTATTATATCGGTCCCATTATATCGACCCATGATTCGAATGGCATCCTCTGGCAACGACAGCGAACAGCATGTAGCGGTACAATGCTCGTTATGGGCCATACCCTTTTCTCTTCAGGCCCCGGCCCAGTATTTTTTAACTTGTGACAAGCTTAAGGTAGCTTTCTACCAAAATATGAGATTTATTGGCTTCGCTTTGTAAGAAAACGAACCTCGCCAAACGTGCCAAAAAATTAGTTTAATGTTCACAAATCACGCACATGCCCAAATGTTAGTTGAGTAAGTAGGATTTAGCATAATTGATTTTACCAGATGCGTGTTGAGCTTCTGGCATGTACCATTTGCTGTGAGTTGTGACATGCAAGCTGTGATATGTGAGCTGTGACATGCGTAATGTGACATGTGTGACAAATTGCCCCAGTGTGTAATTCACTGTGTGACTTTGGCGTGCTCCCGCTATTCCTTAGATAATAGGAGAAGCACATGTACGCATTGACATTTTTTGTTTTGAATTTATTGACAAAAACATGATTCTTCAGTTAAAATCTAAGATATATCGGTTTATTCATGTATACTACTCACATGATGTTAAAGAACACGCGACTCTTTCATATTACTATTGTTAATATGTCATGCTATGACAGATTAATACAGTAACTTAGTATTGATATGGAAGAAACTTCTTTTGAGAAGAATACGTTTATAACTTCATATGTCATACCCCTCAGAGGGACCAAAAACACCCGTATCTTAATAGTTTAGTTGAAATCATTCCAACACAAAAGAAACAGGGGAAAACGAAATACAATTGCTGCAAGTTTTGATACAAGGAAATAAACTTGATTCCTTGGTCCCGCGGTGCCGTTGAGCGAACGAGACTGAAATATGTTTCTTCATACACAGACTGGTTCTTGGTAGCTTTTGCGTTGCGTTATCTTTATGATGTGTAACGAAGCATGACAAAGATATATTAGACGACATTAATAAATCCTCTTTCCATTAGTTTTATTTCGATATTTTCATACATGTTGGGTTTTGTTTGTTTGTTCTTTAACGAGGTACTCAACAATAATCCAGCTACATGAACCGTAAATAAATAATGGATTGCGTCTTTAAGCAACTTTACATGAGTTTTACGTTTAGTTTATAGTCGTAAAATGTAAATGAAAATGAAACTACAAACCTCAAGGAAACTACAGAAGCATGTTTCGGATTCTAGATGCCGACTGGGCCTTAGGTCGTCTGAAGTATCTCTCACGAGCTCAAAGTCCAAAATCTATAACAATTCATTTCTGTTAAAAGATATAACACCACCCATCGGAAAACCCATCAAGCTAATTACGTTCATTGAATAAGGTGAAGATTTACGTTACCTACAGGGTGAGAGATGGAGATACGGTGGCTGGAAGAGGAATCACCAGGCTGCTATTGACCAACACACAACAGACTTGGGAGGAAATGGAACACATCATTGGGATGGAATTTATATTACTCTGGAAAACATCTCATTTACGAACCGGCTGAAAGAACTGAACAAAAAGTACGAGTCTGCTTCAACGGATATCGGAGTGAGCGATCGTGTGATGGCTTCGTAGATGGTCTGATTTTGAGGAATTTGAAAAGATTGGAACAGGCTAGGGCAAGTACAGGGTGCCACAGAGCCTGGTGCCAGAGTACAGGGTACCACAGAGCCTAGTGACGACAGGGTGCCACAGAGCCTGGTGCCAGAGTACAGGGTGCCACAGAGCCTGGTGCCAGAGTACAGGGTGCCACAGAGCCTAGTGCCAGAATACAGGGTACAACAGAGCCTAGTGCCAGACGACAGGGTGCCACAGAGCCTGGTGCCAGAGTACAGGGTACCACAGAGCCTGGTGCCAGAGAGTCAGAGTACAGGGTACTACAGAGCCTGGTGCCAGAGAGTCAGAGTACAGGGCACCACAGAGCCTGGTGCCAGAGAGTCAGAGTACAGGGCACCACAGAGCCTGGTGCCAGAGAGTCAGAGTACAGGGCACCACAGAGCCTGGTGCCAGAGAGTCAGAGTACAGGGTACCACAGAGCCTGGTGCCAGACGACAGGGTACCACAGAGCCTGGTGCCAGAGTACAGGGAACCACAGAGCCTGGTGCCAGAGAGTCAGAGTACAGGGTACTACAGAGCCTGGTGCCAGAGAGTCAGAGTACAGGGCACCACAGAGCCTGGTGCCAGAGAGTCAGAGTACAGGGTACCACAGAGCCTGGTGCCAGACGACAGGGTGCCACAGAGCCTGGTGCCAGAGTACAGGGTGCCACAGAGCCTGGTGCCAGAGTACAGGGTACCACAAGCCTAGTGCCATAGTACAGGGTGCCACAGAGCCCAGTGCCAGAGTACAGGGTACCACAGGCCTAGTGCCAGAGTACAGGGTGCCACAGAGCCTGGTGCCAGAGTACAGGGTACCACAAGCCTAGTGCCAGAGTACAGGGTGCCACAGAGCCCAGTGCCAGAGTACAGGGTACCTCAAGCCTAGTGCTAGAGTACAGGGTGCCACAGAGCCTAGTGCCAGAACACAGGGTACCACAGAGCCTGGTGCCAGACTACAGGGTGCCACAGAGCCTGGTGCCAGACTACAGGGTGCCACAGAGCCTGGTGCCAGAGTACAGGGTACCACAGAGCCTGGTGCAAGAGTACAGGGTGCCACAGAGCCTGGTGCCAGAGTACAGGGTACCACAGAGCCTGGTGCCAGAGTACAGGGTACCACAGAGCCAGGTGCCAGAGTACAGGGTGCCACAGAGCCTGGTGCCAGAGTACAGAGTACCACAAGCCTAGTGCCAGAGTACAGGGTACCACAGAGCCGAGTGCCAGAGTACAGGGTACCACAGAGCCTGGTGCCAGAGTACAGGGTACCACAGAGCCTGGTGCAAGAGTACAGGGTGCCACAGAGCCTGGTGCCAGAGTACAGGGTACCACAGAGCCTGGTGCCAGAGTACAGGGTACCACAGAGCCAGGTGCCAGAGTACAGGGTGCCACAGAGCCTGGTGCCAGAGTACAGAGTACCACAAGCCTAGTGCCAGAGTACAGGGTACCACAGAGCCGAGTGCCAGAGTACAGGGTACCACAGAGCCGAGTGCCAGAGTACAGGGTACCACAGAGCCGAGTGCCAGAGTACAGGGTACCACAGGCCTAGTGCCAGAGTACAGGGTACCACAGAGCCGAGTGCCAGAGTACAGGGTACCACAGAGCAGAGTGCCAGAGAGTCAGAGTGCAGGGTGCCACAAGCCTAGTGCTAGACTATAGGGTACCACAGAGCCTAGTGCCAGAGTACAGGGTACCACATAGCCTTGTGCCAGAGTACAGGGTACCACAGAGCCGAGTGCCAGAGAGTCAGAGTGCAGGGTGCCACAAGCCTAGTGCCAGACGCAGGGTATCACAGAGCCTAGTGCCAGACTACAGGGTATCACAGAGCCGAGTGCCAGAGAGTCAGAGTGCAGGGTACCACAAGCCTAGTGCCAGAGTACAGGGTACCACAGAGCCTAGTGCCAGAGTACAGGGTACCACAGAGCCTAGTGCCAGACTACAGGGTACCACAAGCCTAGTGCCAGAACACAGAGTACCACAGAGCCTAGTGCCAGAGTACAGGGTACCACAGAGCAGAATGCCAGAGAGTCAGAGTGCAGAGTGCCACAAGCCTAGTGCCAGACTACAGGGTACCACAGAGCCGAGTGCCAGAGTACAGGGTACCACAAGCCTAGTGCCAGAACACAGAGTACCACAGAGCCTGGTGCCAGAGTACAGAGTACCACAAGCCTAGTGCCAGAGTACAGGGTACCACAGAGCCGAGTGCCAGAGTACAGGGTACCACAGAGCCGAGTGCCAGAGTACAGGGTACCACAGAGCCGAGTGCCAGAGTACAGGGTACCACAGGCCTAGTGCCAGAGTACAGGGTACCACAGAGCCTTGTGCCAGAGTACAGGGTACCACAGAGCCGAGTGCCAGAGAGTCAGAGTGCAGGGTGCCACAAGCCTAGTGCCAGACTACAGGGTATCACAGAGCCTAGTGCCAGAGTACAGGGTACCACCTAGCCTTGTGCCAGAGTACAGGGTACCACAGAGCCGAGTGCCAGAGTACAGGGTACCACAGAGCAGAGTGCCAGAGAGTCAGAGTGCAGGGTGCCACAAGCCTAGTGCTAGACTATAGGGTACCACAGAGCCTAGTGCCAGAGTACAGGGTACCACATAGCCTTGTGCCAGAGTACAGGGTACCACAGAGCAGAGTGCCAGAGAGTCAGAGTGCAGGGTGCCACAAGCCTAGTGCAAGACTACAGGGTATCACAGAGCCTAGTGCCAGACTACAGGGTATCACAGAGCCGAGTGCCAGAGAGTCAGAGTGCAGGGTACCACAAGCCTAGTGCCAGAGTACAGGGTACCACAGAGCCTAGTGCCAGAGTACAGGGTACCACATAGCCTAGTGCCAGAGTACAGGGTACCACAGAGCCTAGTGCCAGAGTACAGGGTACCACAGAGCAGAGTGCCAGAGAGTCAGAGTGCAGGGTGCCACAAGCCTAGTGCTAGACTATAGGGTACCACAGAGCCTAGTGCCAGAGTACAGGGTACCACATAGCCTTGTGCCAGAGTACAGGGTACCACAGAGCCGAGTGCCAGAGAGTCAGAGTGCAGGGTGCCACAAGCCTAGTGCCAGACGCAGGGTATCACAGAGCCTAGTGCCAGACTACAGGGTATCACAGAGCCGAGTGCCAGAGAGTCAGAGTGCAGGGTACCACAAGCCTAGTGCCAGAGTACAGGGTACCACAGAGCCTAGTGCCAGAGTACAGGGTACCACAGAGCCTAGTGCCAGACTACAGGGTACCACAAGCCTAGTGCCAGAACACAGAGTACCACAGAGCCTAGTGCCAGAGTACAGGGTACCACAGAGCAGAATGCCAGAGAGTCAGAGTGCAGAGTGCCACAAGCCTAGTGCCAGACTACAGGGTACCACAGAGCCGAGTGCCAGAGTACAGGGTACCACAAGCCTAGTGCCAGAACACAGAGTACCACAGAGCCTGGTGCCAGAGTACAGAGTACCACAAGCCTAGTGCCAGAGTACAGGGTACCACAGAGCCGAGTGCCAGAGTACAGGGTACCACAGAGCCGAGTGCCAGAGTACAGGGTACCACAGAGCCGAGTGCCAGAGTACAGGGTACCACAGGCCTAGTGCCAGAGTACAGGGTACCACAGAGCCTTGTGCCAGAGTACAGGGTACCACAGAGCCGAGTGCCAGAGAGTCAGAGTGCAGGGTGCCACAAGCCTAGTGCCAGACTACAGGGTATCACAGAGCCTAGTGCCAGAGTACAGGGTACCACCTAGCCTTGTGCCAGAGTACAGGGTACCACAGAGCCGAGTGCCAGAGTACAGGGTACCACAGAGCAGAGTGCCAGAGAGTCAGAGTGCAGGGTGCCACAAGCCTAGTGCTAGACTATAGGGTACCACAGAGCCTAGTGCCAGAGTACAGGGTACCACATAGCCTTGTGCCAGAGTACAGGGTACCACAGAGCAGAGTGCCAGAGAGTCAGAGTGCAGGGTGCCACAAGCCTAGTGCAAGACTACAGGGTATCACAGAGCCTAGTGCCAGACTACAGGGTATCACAGAGCCGAGTGCCAGAGAGTCAGAGTGCAGGGTACCACAAGCCTAGTGCCAGAGTACAGGGTACCACAGAGCCTAGTGCCAGAGTACAGGGTACCACATAGCCTAGTGCCAGAGTACAGGGTACCACAGAGCCTAGTGCCAGAGTACAGGGTACTACAGAGCCTAGTGCCAGAACACAGGGTACCACAGAGCAGAGAGCCAGAGTACAGGGTACCACGGAGCAGAGTGCCAGAGAGTCAGAGTACAGGGTACCACAGAGCCTAGTGCCAGAACACAGGGTACCACAGAGCAGAGAGCCAGAGTACAGGGTACCACGGAGCAGAGTGCCAGAGAGTCAGAGTGCAGGGTACCACAGAGCCGAGTGCCAGAGTACAGGGTACCACAGAGCAGAGTGCCAGAGAGTCAGAGTGCAGGGTACCACAGAGCCTAGTGCCAGAACACAGGGTACCACGGAGCAGAGTGCCAGAGAGTCAGAGTGAAGGGGACCACAGAGCCTAGTGCCAGAACACAGGGTACCACAGAGCCTGGTGCCAGAGTACAGGGTACCACAGAGCAGAGTGCCAGTGTACAGGGTACCACAAGCCAAGTGCCAGAGTACAGGGTACCACAGAGCCTAGTGCCAGAGTACAGGGTACCACAGAGCCTAGTGCCAGACTACAGGGTACCACAAGCCTAGTGCCAGAGTACAGGGTACCACAGAGCAGAGTGCCAGTGCACAGGGTACCACAAGCCTAGTGCCAGAGTACGGGTACCACAGAGCAGAGTGCCAGTGTACAGGGTACCACAGAGCCTAGTACCAGACTACAGGGTACCACAGGGCCGAGTGCCAGACTACAGGGTACCACAGAGCCTAGTGCCAGAGTACAGGGTACCACAGAGCCTAGTGCCAGAGTACAGGGTACCACAGAGCCTAGTGCCAGAGTACAGGGTACCACAGAGCCTAGTGCCAGAACACAGGGTACCACAGAGCAAAGTGCCAGAGAGTCAGAGTGCAGGGTGCCACAGAGCAGAGTGCCAGAGTACAGGGTACCACAGAGCCTAGTGCCAGAGTACAGGTAACCACAGAGCCTTGTGCCAGAGTACAGGGTACCACAGAGCCGAGTGCCAGAGTACAGGGTACCACAAGCCTAGTGTCAGAGTACAGGGTACCACAGAGCCGAGTGCTAAAGTACAGGGTACCACAGAGCAGAGTGCCAGAGAGTCAGAGTACAGGGTACCACAGAGCCGAGTGCCAGAGTACAGGGTACCACAGAGCCGAGTGCCAGAGTACAGGGTACCACAGAGCAGAGTGCCAGAGAGTCAGAGTACAGGGTACCACAGAGCAGAGTGCCAGAGAGTCAGAGTGCAGGATGCCAGATTGCCAGAGTACAGGGTCCTAGAGTGCCAGAGTGTGGACATGGTCACTGCAAGATAGATCTCTTTACAAGGAACAAAACTCTTTAGAAATCTGTATAATGGGTACCTGGAGGGTTGTTTGTTTACAGACGGACATTACTGGTTGATGTCAGTCTGAGTTTCCGTGACTGCTATCGACGTTACCACTCTCGTGTTGGCTTGCTCCGCTCCTGCCCTAGAAAGCATTTGAATTCGTTGAATTATACAATCTGCTCATCATGTGATGAAGTCTGATGTAGTGTTGACACGACAGGCATCCACCCCTGGACACCATCCAGTAGTTCCACAGAATATTTCACCATCAAACGAATTGGAAAGTCAATGAACATCATCATGAGATAATGAAGGCTGTTGCTGAAGCTGTGTTCTGTCATGTTGATGAGGCAATCGCGTTCTGGACACCAGATAAACTTGACAAAACGTTTTGATTGGCGTGTTTGATATCGCAGCATGATTTCCAAACAAATTCGAAATTCCAGTGATACTTTCCACGTGCTGTAATGTTTAACGTCAAATGACCCCCGATTAAACAGCTGCTCTGTTAAAAAGTACCACTACACTCAATCACTCTAAAAATAAATTAAACATCTCCTCTTTCATAATTATTAAACTGATGCTACTTTTCTGTAAAAAGGTCTAATATGAAACGACCCCTTCATCGCCATTTCCTTGTTTCCCACGTAAAATGAAATGCCGTCCAATATAACGTTCCGTATTATTCCCACTTTTTATTCAGGTAATTCCAAATCTAGGAATTGAGCAGCGGATTTTGCATCAGGTAGTATTGATTTTACAAACGCTCAAATGGAATCTATTTTTGATGTCTAACGTTAGGAATGTAAGATTAAAGCATTTCGAGGTTTGACTTGGCACTGTGACGTGGGATCACAAGAGCTCCGTCATTAAACCCCGATTTGAAAATAAGAACTGGCGGTCGAATGGTTTCGTTGGAAGAGATCACAAGAATTCGATTTCATTTTATTAATAATCGTCGCATATGGAATTGGTTAATATTGACAGTGTGAGAGAGTTCTAAGCGTAAGGCTTTCAAAAACCTGATATTACCCTAATTTGTCTATAGAGTGAGCATTGCGAATTCCATGTGTTTTGTCAGAAAACAACGCTGACATGGCCATGATAGAAGAGATTGCAATTGAAGTTATTTGAAGGAATGATTGGCGTCGAAGTGACCCAAGCGCATTTATTTAACTCTTGCGGATGTCACGAATTGTTCATTTATCTTTATTTCTTATTTTTCATATGGGTAAAGTAGGTGGTAATGAGATGGCTGAACGCAGACCGAAGAGGTCGCCGGTGACACGTTCTCAATCAGGGGAATTGATTTCTATTATTTACCAAAATCAACCCAGTTTTGTCTGTCATTCCCTCCGCCCCCACCCACCCCTTATCAGAGTCAACCCTTGTCCCCACTTATAGAATCAACCCATATCCCCGACTAACAGAGTCAACCCACAACTGTCTGCCATGTCCCCCAACTAACAGAGTCAACCCATGTCCCCACTTACCAGAGTCAACCCAGAACTCTGCCATGTCCCCCACTTACTGAGTCAACCCAGTGCTGTCTGCCGTGTTCCCCACTTACCAGAGTCAACGCATGTTCCTCACTTACCAGAGTCAACCCAGCGTTGTCTGCCATGTCCCCCACTTGCCAGAGTCAACCCATGTCCCCCACTTACCAGAGTCAACCCAGCGTTGTCTGCCATGTCCCCCACTTACCAGAGTCAACCCATGTCCCCCACTTACCAGAAACAACCCAGTGCTGTCTGACATGTCCCCCACTAACAGAGTCAACCCATTTCCCCCACTTACTGAGTCAACCCATGCCCCCCCCCCCCCCCCCCCCCTTACTGAGATCATGCCAAAAGGAACAGATCTGTAACTGGCGATAGGCACCGACATTACAGTCCCAGTCCATTCCTAGAGCTATAACCGGTGCTGTAGATCCCACAGGACATCAACGACTTCCCTCCCCTTGAGACATCATGGACTGGCCGGCCTTCTGTCCGAACCAATCATTCTTGTTTCGGAACTTCTTGAAATACGTCTACTCGGAGGTCCGTGTCACCAAATCCCAGAGGTTGGTGATTCATCGGTATAGACTTGGCAGGGATGAGGATGCTGGTCAAAATCATTCAATAAGCGCCAAGCTGCTATTCAATGGTGATTATGTTATACAATGTTCCAGATCTATAACATTTGTTAAAACAAGGTTCCTTAAATTGTTCAGCTGAGGATATAAATTCGTCCCCCAATTTCTTACTTGAAAATATTGTTTTGCAAATAATTGCTTAAATCTCAATTCTCATTCTAAAACGTGTACTAGTTATTCAGTTGGTATGCGCGGAAAGCATGCCGTTCCCGACTGACGTCAAATCGTTTGTTCGTATTTCACAATCCAACGATTAGTGATAAAAAGATGAACCCTACGCATTAAGGAGATGGGAGTCATTCAGTGTACAGTGCTCATAATCAATCAGTATGCCCTATCACTATACCTCTTAGCAAGGCGGGAGACATCGGGAAAACAACCATTTGTATCAGGAATTATGGCAAAACATTTTGTTCACAAGGATCGCCCCAAAGCATGGCTGGTGTTCTTGGTTTTCAAGGTCACAATCACAAACAAACCAAGGACCCGTTGAGGAGGTAAAGGTCACTCCAATTGGAGACAAACTGCCCCATGGCTGCCTTATTTCAGCCACGAGAGGTTTTCAGAACACCCAAAGACCTTGTATCCATATATCAAAGCAATTTGCACATGAGGCTGTTTTACCCGCCTGTAGCAATGATGGATAGGTTTGCTGCGGGCGAGACATCTAGCCGTGAGATATCCATATTGATTTCTTCTCTGCATGATCCATAGATAGTAGCTTAAAGCTTCCTATCATTTTGTAACAAACTACAAAAACTTGCCGCTTTTTCAGGAAAATTTTCTTGGATTTTCAGAAAGTAATACCCTTAGCGATTTGCAGATTTCAGAGATTCTCATTATATTTAAGATAAATTCTGAATACTATTATGTGTTACTTATGTTTCCACCAGGCGCACTGATCTCACTCAATTAGTGTTCGAGGCGCTGATCAAAATTGGCATCGAGAATAAGAAGGTTTATTAAACTTTTACTCCTTAGGCATCTTCAGTTCAGTGATATTAAAGGGAAAGGGGGCAGGTTTTGATCATTTACCACTTGAGAGAATCAAACTCTTGTCTGAGGCGCCCAGAACGAACTTTATTACTGCTGGTTTACATTGTGGCCAAGGAATGAGAAAGGTTCTGTTGTGAATGAACCGTTTTTTTATTGGTAACCAATCGTATGAAAGCTGTGGTGATGGTTGTTGCCTAACACCGCACTAAAATATTACAGCTACATGGCGGTACATTGACAAAGATCGAGTCTGGGCCAGACAATCTAGTGATTGATATTATGCGCAACGATCCACAGCTTTATTCTCTTAAGATATAATTACATGTCTAATTTTAACATGACAAATATTGTTGCAATTACAATGTGGAATAATTTATTTTGACTAGATCTTGAGTATATATTTTGTTGTTTTTCAATAACATTTAACTTGTTTTATGTTAGAATTTTCAATGTGTATTATTTGTGTAATACACCTCGTTTACGAGGGTTGCAATGTGACTATTTTAAACAACTTTCTCTGATAGGGGGAGTACTTTTTGTTTCGCAAATGCTTCTTTTCACAAATAATGCATATTTTAGCAATGCCAACAATTAATACTTCTTTTCATGACACAGTTAACATATTTACAACGCGTCTTTTAGGCCCTTTTTGTAGCGAAAGACTTCGTAAACATGTGTCCGAGTGGACGTGGCTTAGGCTGGAGGCGGAGGATGGTGGATGGGTGTATTAACCTATACCACGCCCCTAACGAACAGAACTAGTCATCCACTTACATGTTTTGTAAATCTGTACACTTCTAATGACATGATATGTCGCATTTCAGGAGATAGTATGTCTGACAATGTCGGGCGAATTTCGCCGATCATTGTGTACATGAAAAGCTCCAGACACATTCAAATATATTCTGTTAGTTTTCTTCTATATTTCGCCCTTTCTTTCTTCTCGAAGTTTTATATCTCTATATGAAGGACAAATGCTCTGTTCAGAAAAGTATTTCGTAAATGTTCCTTTGAAAGTTTGAAGTTGTCGGACAAAATGGCGGATTCAGTCACTTCGGACTTTCTGATTGGTCAATCAAGTTCATGATTGACAGGTGGTGGCCTCGTTTTCGTTACCGCGAATGTAATGTGGGCGTTACAACTACAGCTAAAACGCAATTTGGGCTGTTGACTTTCTAACTTTATGGTTTCATATTTTAATGAAATACTTCAAAAGATTGTCCGCATTTCTAATTATGGATTCCGATATATTGAACTACTGTATTTCAGTATTTTATCATTAAGGTGATCAGTGTAACTACAAGCCGATAGTTTATGTGTACTCTGGCTTTTTGAAAGACAGACTTTAGCAACTATTGAATTTTTACCGACGTTGATATTTTTGCAAAGGAAGATTGAACGTGTGACGGTGATCAATCATGATTGAAAATTTAAATCCGTATATCGATCCCGCCGTAACGCCCTAACACAAGCCAGTTGAGGCATGTTTATTTTCATTCCCAGCCACCAACACTTTATCTAGGCAATACCCTGTTCTTGAATCACCGAGTTAATGTGACATTTTGCAGTTAATAAAACCATACATATCTTTCATGCGAAGCATAACTCCATCAATCTCTTCACATCGCACTTTCCTGGAAATGAGGGACAGTAATTTGATTCCAAATTGTCCACAAAATCTGGGATCCCCATGATTGGAAACAACAGATCTTTGACCCGAATACCTCAATGAAGCCTTCTTGACAATTGGAGATCGATAATCTCTATATCGGCTTCCGCAATCTAGATGTATTGGTTATCGATGATATGGAAATTCCCCCATTGTCCCGAAAATGTGGTTTCTTGTGTGAAGT